AACTGATGTGTGATGGTCTTAATTGGTGTTCAATTGGTCTCAGTTGGAATCTATTGGAATTGGGTTTTCCCAATTGGAATCCTATCTAATAATGTCATTCCCAATTGGAATCCCATTTAACGTTCCATTCCCAATTGGAATCCCGTCAAATCTTTTCATTCCCAATTGGAATCCAGTCCAATCGTTTCATTCCCAATTGGAATCCCGTCGATCATTTCATTTCCAATTGGAATCCTGTCCAATCGTTTCATTTCCAATTGGAATCCAGTCCAATCGTTTCATTTCCAATTGGAATCTCGTCTATCATTTCATTTCCAATTGGAATCCTGTCCAATCGTTTCATTTCCAATTGGAATCCCGTCAAATCTTTTCATTCCCAATTGGAATCCAGTCCAATCGTTTCATTTCCAATTGGAATTCCATCTATCATTTCATTCCCAATTGGAGTCCCGTCCAATCATTTCATTTCCAATTGGAATCCCGTCTATCATACATTCCCAATTGGAATCCTCAAGCGCTGTCTATCATTCCCAATTGGAAAACTGTCCACTCGTTTCATTCAATGAGAGTATGTGCGTGACAAATAAACTTCCATCTGCATTTTTATTGCAAAAAAAATCATTCAAAAGTGAAATGACATGTACATATATCATGTATACATGTACTTATACCTCCATATGTCTACACCCAGGCCCCGGCAGTAAATAATTTTCAGAGCAATTCATTTACCAGGATACCCCTCTAAAAAGCTGCATGCAGCTAGGGCCAGCATATGGAGCACATATCATCCATAGAGCTAGGACCAAGGCCTCACAAGTCACCAAGGGCGGATCCAGAACATAATTTTTTGGGGGGGGGGGCGAAAAAAAATTTTGGTCCCCCAAAAAAGTGGGTCTAAAAAATTACGGCGTGGGGATTGGGGCCCGCTAGGGCCCCGAAAAAATGTTGGATTCTAGATGCTCTGTGGTGCGATCTGAGGCAATTTTTGACCACTTTAACCAATTTTTTTTGAGGAAAAGATGGTGGTGTACTCATTGCCTGCCTTTATTGCGATGTCACATTAAAAAAAAAAAAAATTGGTTTCGTTTTTTTGGGGGGGGGGGGGGCCATGGCCCCCTTTGGCCCCCCCCCCCTGGATCCGCCCTTGCAAGTCACATGCACAGAATCAAATTACATACATAGCGCTTGGGCCAGCATGGCATTTACCCCCTGCTGTGCTGTCTTGCCATCCGCTGGTAACCAGTCTCACCCAACGTGTGTTCTACATGTACAAATGTATGCTCCATGCATGACATGCACACAACCTTGCATACCAGTCAGTGCAGAAACTGCTTATGTGGCAAATTTGAATTCAGTCAGTTGGATTTTGGTTGGATTACAGGATCGTGGTGGGCTTGCAAGTTCAAGAGAACAAAAACTTGTACCTGTTAATTGTAGTAGAACATGAACTTTAATTGCCCAAATCATAAATGTTGGCAGGAATCTTTCAGGACTAAATTGCTGTTCATGGAAACTACACATTTGATGGAGATGGTTAGCGTGTGTGCAGATTGTGTTCCTTCATACATCATGTACATCTGTACATGTACGTGTAGCTGTGGCTGTGCTGTGGCTACAATTTAAAAGAATATTGGACATGAAGGCCTTGGACTTGGAGGATGAAAATAGATGGTGAGTAGAGTTGACTTCATTAAAAACCAATTTGTGCCCCAAGGGTTTAGAATTTTGCAGAATAGAACACGCTGTGCGCGAAAAAAAAAAAGATTTCGCAAAGGCAAAGTTGCAAGAGAACATCAATTTTTAAGAACTACACGTAATTATTTTCTCAGCTAGAAAACCACTTCTTTTTAAGAAAGTACAAGTCCGAGGACAAACTAAAATGCATGATGGTGGCCAAACGCCATTCCATTAAACTTAACATGTGGGGACATGTATGATTTCGCCCTTTCTAATAAACATGATAAACACATTGTCATTAAAATCGTGGATTTTTTGATTCGGCCAAAGATATGTAAAAATAATGGCATTTATTTTAGAAAAATCTTTTTTTTCCATATATGCAGGACCTCCCTCCACTACCAGCAGACCGTGGTGACAGCTAGCTAGCTGGCTATACTGTTTTGCAATGACTTTCAACTGCAACTAGGGCTTTTAACGTCCAAATGGTGTACAGCCCTACGACTACGTGTACGAGACAATTTCGACAACCATCTGCTCAACAGATCTTGAAAAGCACATTTTACATGTAAACAGGTCACCTAGGGCTAATTCTACTGCCATGCCTATGGTGCTGTTCGCTATATGGACCACGATTGGCCAAAACTGATAGATAATTGTTATGTTCCCGCTTTGGGCTCCCATTTTGCTGCAGTCGGCTGAAACTGGTCACAGACGCTTTCAAAATATAACTGTTCAACTTTTGACTTGAAACCGATCGAGATCCGTTTGTTTTGTCGGCTGGAATATCATCTACATCCACTGAGCAAAAACTTCATCAGGTTAGTTGTTCAGCAGCCGTCTTGCACATTTAGAGCACTTTTGTTGCTAATGCAGATGCACTAAATTGAATATGAATAGCTACTGCAATAAAAACACAAAGTAAATGTAGTGATAATCGTGAAAAAAGGCGACATTGTGTATTCCGCGGATCACTTTGTTTTAATTGTATTCCGTGTGGTTTTAATTTGATTGCAACTGCAGACTGTATGATGTGGTGATAAACAAAATAAAGTACTGGTTCAAATCAATCATATTGAATGTGTGACGAATTTAATAGTTTCCAATTTTTTTTCCAATTGGGTTTTTTCCAATTGGTTTTTTTTCCAATTAGGTTTTTTTTCCAATTGGTTTTTTTTCCAATTGGTTTTTTTTCCAATTGGTTTTTTCCAATTGTTTTTTTTTCCAATTGGTTTTTTTCCAATTGTTTTTTTTTTTCCAATTGGTTTTTTTCCAATTGGTTTTTTTTTCCAATTGGTTTTTTTTCCAATTGGGTTTTTTTCTCCAATTGGTTCCAATTGAGGAGTGCCAAAGCTCAATTGGTAAAATATCCAATTGGTTCCAATTGGAATTTGAATTGGTAATGAATTGGAAATTTTGGTAAGGGTGCATGATGCTATTCTGTACTTATATAAGACAACGATACGTCCCCTGAGCGTTGGAATACTGTTGCCACATATGGCCGGAGCTTCTGCCTGCCATTTATCTCAATTAGATCGGATGCAGAAGCGAATCGTTAATTAGGTTGGTGAGTTGGTCTCATCATTACAACCCCTTTCCCATCGTAGGTCTGTAGCCACACTCAGTCTGTTCTACAGATAATTATTTCCATGGAAATTGTTCCACCAGTTTGTTTGACTTGTTGTTCCGTGTCAGGTTGTTTGAGCGTGCAACCATATGCTTTCTCTCAACCATACACTCTAGTGGTGCCGAGATAGCTTTTTTTCCAATGTGGTGCATCTCTTTGGAACTCCTTGCCTAGTGGCTGTTTCCCTCCACTCTATGATCTAGCCTGTTTTAAGAGGACTATCAATTCCTACCTCCAGCTTTCCTGATTTTGTTTACATCTTATTTTCTTAATTTTTCTGCACTTTGCCTAGAGTGGCTTTTATATCAACCTCGCCCCCAGTGCTTACTTTATTTCCAACCGCGTTTCCAATAGTAATCCCTGGATAGGAAACTGTCTTCCTGTATCCTGATTCGATAGCGCAATTGGCTAGAAATGGATTTTTATCGTGTACTTGGTGTTGTTATTCAAAACGTGCAGTACGTGTTTTCACGATCATTCGTCCACGCCTTCTCGAAAATACTCATTTCCTTTCCAATTTGTTCATATTGATATTAAATGTGATACTGCATGTATCACGCCATGCTCGCGCTGCGACGAATTGACTCTGTTTTTACCCCAGACACCGCATAAAAAACAAGCGCTAATGTAACGCACATGCAGGCACCAGACTATTCCTCATTTGCATACGTGTTCAAAAATCTTGCACATGCAAATGATCCAATACCAGGGTTAGATAGCAGGTAGTGATGGGCACGTACTGCTCGACACCCTGGGGACGAGGTTGCTTTTATATAGCCTTGCTTGGGGTGATTTTGCATTGAAGAAAAATGTACATGTAAACTACGTCAACAACCTTGGATACATGTCTGTTTATATTACCTAAATGCAGACTTGAATGACTATTCGAGTCCCATTTTCCGTGACTCGGACTCGGACTAGACCTGGGACTCGACCCTGCGGACTCGGACTTGGACTCGACCTGCGTGACTCGGGACTCGACCAAAAGTACCACAAATCACTAGTTTCTTTTAACAATATCATTACAAATTATTTTGAAGACGTTCCTGCGGTGCAGAAGAAACGCTTGTACAAACACAGTGCGTGCGGCTGGCTTGTTTGGGTATTCTGTTTTCGGAAATCAATGTATCAAAACATGTACCCCAGCGTCCACACTTGATATTGCGTAAAAGCAAACTTGATTTATTATCCTTACCGGACACTGTGCCTTGCCTTATTTGACATGTTATACATGTATTTCCAAATCAATACATTAGAGAAAAGCTTTGAAAAATTGAAACATTTACACTGTGAGTTTTTAGCAGTACCTCAAAAATATATCTCAGTATATATTAAAGGTGACTCGTGACTCGGACTCAGACGTGACCTTTGTGACTCGTGACTCGTGACTCGGACTCGGACTCGGACTCGACCAGCATGAGTCGGGATTCGGACTCGGACTCGGGAGAGGTTACATATCTGACTCGGACTCGGACTCGATGCTTGGTGACTTGAAAACAAATCTGCCAAAATGTCTTTGTTACTTCGGCGCCCTCATTTGTTCAAGAGTGAGACCTCTTCACAATCTTGGCCCCTGTATTGTTATGGCGGTTTTACTTGGGAAGGAGTGACGTGTGGCCTTAATAGGCAACACCTGATTGGAAAGTGGGGGTGTAATACTAGAATGTGGTCTTACACTATCTTTCATTTCCTTCAGGTATTTATCCAACAAATCGCACGTAGCTGGCAGTCCTGTGAGTAAAGAGCAAGCGGAGTGGGTTCGAGACAACTGGCTTGCCCAGGGACTTGACTCAGCTAAGATTGTCACGTACCAGGTTCTGCTGTCATACCCACCAGATTACGAAGATCCTAAGCAAAACACGGTAAGTGAGGCTCGACGGTCGTTCATGAGCCCAATCAACCTCGTCTCTAGAGCTTACTTTATTTTCAACCTCATTAACCCCTGGATGGGTACTTGCTTCCTGTATCCTGATTCGTTACCGCAATATATAACAAGTACTGATCGTACTGAGGGGGGCTCATGCCATATTTTCAATGGGGAGCGCCAATTAAATCCTAAAATCATGCACACTATATTAACTAATGCACCCTTGTCACGGCTACTTCTTCTTTAGGGGGAGACCGTTCGCATGTACATCACAATCCTTCTTTTTGCTTAAATGCAATTTTGTTTAAAGGAATTTATTTTTTTGGGGGGGGGGGCCTAGACAAATTTTTTTGTGGCCCCCCCCCCCCCCCCCCCCCCGTAGAACCGCGCCTGGCCATTTCCCTTGTTAACTAAATTTTCACGGATTTTTCAACATATTAATCCAGATTAGGCATGAAAAAACCCTTAAGGAAGTCTTCTTTTACCTCATGGAGACAGACCCAGTGTACCGTTATGTATAACCAATGATAATCCTCAGTGGCCAGGGTCATTAAAAAAAACGTGAAAATACCCTTACAGGATTAGTCCTATATAAGCCCTATGTAAATGTCAGTGAAACATCTCTTAAAGATTCTTTTCACGGAGAAATGGACTTTTAACGAAAATGTAAGGGATCAGATGTTCATAGACTGGGCATTCTGCACCACTAGGGGGCAGCATAATCATCCAACGGATGGTGACAATATTTTTTGATTGCATTTTTCTTTGAATCTTCGACTCTTTTTTTTTTTCATTAAAGATTCAGCTTTTGAATGCAGCGGGTGACGCAGAACATACCACACAGGAGCGAGAACCACCACTTGAGCCGGGCAATGACAACCCGGTAGCTGATAACGATATATTAGCCCCGTTCAACGCGTATTCTGCAGATGGAGAAATAGAGGTACAACAGTTAGTTAAGAAAGAAAAATAGAGCTCACTTTTAACTGATACATCAACAAAAAACTCGACCCACGTTTAGGTATGGATTATAATAATGATAATAGTAAGTATAATAATAGTGGGTATTTATGAAGCGCACGTATCCACCGGGACTTGTGCTCAAGGCGCTACATCATTAATACCCCTGCTCATTGGGCCCATGAAACATTCCAAACACCATCTCAGCTCCCTGGGGAGTATACAGCTTGATGCAGCTTGTTAGGCGCAAAGCAGCTTATTCAATCACAATGACCATATTTGCCCTCACAGGTACCCATTTAGGTGGAGAGAAGCAATGAGTGTCAAAGTGCCTTGCTCAAGGGCACACGCACCATAACCCCAGGCTGGACTCGAACCAAAAACCTGCAGCTTTACCCGCCGACCACGAATCCAATGCCCTTACCCACGAGGCCACAGCACTCCACATTGCACTCGGACAACATTATTTAAACCAAAAGAGAGCCATCGTATGAATTCCAGCCTGATCCACATCCTGATGAAGACTGTTTATATTCAGCCATACCCAAGTTTTGTGCTGCATACCAAATAAAGGCGCAAATCAGACACCGTGATCAAAATTACATGGGGACACACCACAACCCCTGCAGTATGAGTGCTCATTAAGCCCCCAAAAATCTCCGGTTTCTGGTATGGAGCTTGCCCCAAAAGTGGTGCGTCGAAGCGGTTTTTCTCCCCTACTTTTTTTCTTCAAATGTCGGCTTATGTTGCAGATGATGCTTCGATCCTCTTAAAACTCTCAAGAATATCCTTCCGAGTGGAGCTTGAGGTGACCTCAGTCAGGCCATAAGGCCTTTTGAGAAATCTGCACCCACTTACGATCTCGACCGACACTAAAATTCTTTGGGATATTTCAAGACAAAAATCAGAGAAAACGGTAACCATTCAGCGACATCGATATCGTGCATGAGCTGCCAGGCTGGTCATTAGTCTGTTCCTTACATATTGCGTTAATTAAAAAGCGTTTACAGGTTCCAGATACACGACTAGCGCTCCCTCAGTCTGGCTCCCGGACGCACCATTACAAAATTACATAATCGACTGCAAATTGTGCCCGACTACATTTAGTGCAAAATATATAGGAGCCCAGAGAGGCAACATAATTAAGGCTTATACTCGATCGTAACCCCATCTAAACACACGTTAAAAGTGTGCAGCATGCAGCAGGATTCCAGTCGAACCAGCAGACCAGAAACCGGAAACTTTTATTTTTAAACCAAGTAAGCTTTTCAACAATAATTTCGTCAGTTACTTTTTGGATAGCTGCAAAATGACCTACTCTACCTAAAAGCTCTACTTGCCTTGTTTGTGTTTCAGGGCGATCTGGTGTATGTGAACTACGGCAGAGTGGAAGATTTTCAGGAACTAGAAAGAGTTTTAAGCATCGACGTCACCGGCAAAATCTGCATTGCTCGATACGCTAAAATCTACCGCGGTGACAAGGTAAATTGATTTTACCAACAATACAGAGTGAGTAAAAAAAATGAAACCGAAATGTCAGGACTATTGTTTTAGTGAAGTTCTGCATGTGCACTTTCAGAATCTAGGATATAAAAGCCCAATTCATAAGCTCTTTTACAGTACAAGAATCACTCAAATCACTGATGTACTTTTCAAGTTACGGAATTCTAAACACAACCGCCGTTTTAAAGTTCTGTCCTCGGATCCCCCCCTCAAAAAAGGGAAAAAAAATGCGTTCTTTCAGCAAAACGTAAACAATTCACACACATTCCTATTATGTGATTTGTTTTCGGTTTACTGAAAGAACACTGAACCTTTTTTGTGATCCGTGGACAGAACGTTAAAACGGTGATTGTATTTAAATTTTCACAACTTGAAAAGTACATGAGTGATTTGAATTATTCTTGTACTAAAAGAAAGCTTGTGCATTGGGTTTTCATATCATAGATTTTCAAAGTGCTACAGGCAGAACCGCACTAAAACAATGGTTCCGACATTTTTTGCTTTTTTTTTACTCACCCTGTAGTAACTTTGAAAGACATTCCCATAGACTTGTGAACAAAGCATCTCAACTTTAATTACTCTGAACCAAAAGTCTCTGAACAAAACTGGTTTTTTTTAGGCCACCAATGCGGAGAAAGCTGGTTGTATTGGACTGATCCTGTACAGCGATCCTAAGGACTATGCCGTTGAGGGCGCTGCAGTCTACCCCGATGGTATCTACCTCCCGGGGACTGGAACCCAACGTGGCTCTCTCATGCTCGGGAGTGGTGATCCACGCACACCGGGGTACCCTGCCGTTGGTAAGATCACTGAGCGACTGAAGGGTGATTCCAGTATATTAAGAAACCAGTGATAAATCCCCATACCTCAACATTCTTTTAAAAAAATACTCAGATCTCTCACACGGTGTTCAGGCTGCACAGAAAAATTATAATCAACATGTCATCTTTCATTTCCCTTTAATTTTTTGATGGGTTGACCATTGACGTTTTTAGAGAAATTCTCACCTTAAGAAGATTACCCCTAAAACGAACGATGTTCCCCGAACTGGAAAATTAGCCATTTTAAAAAAGATCCCTCCACAACTTGCCTAAATATAGCGCCACTATCGGACCCAATTGCATCCAAAATGCTCAAAATTGGAAGCCCAGGCCAGAGGTAGGTGCAGTGCCATTATTTTTTTCAATTCCCCAATTCCATTGCTCTCAAAACTCTCTAATGTGGAATGACTTGAGTGTATAACTAATATATTCATGAGCTCGGCGGATGGATTTTTGGCCTATTTACTGGGGTGTACGCTGAAGTAGCTACCCACCATCCTGGGTCACCCAATGCACACGCGCAGTAAACGCGAGTTTCTTTTCTTCTTCGGAGTTATAGGCCATCAGCTTGGGGGTTTGGGCAGTATCAAATCAGGGCATAAATTATTATAGTGCGCATGCGCAAGGTATACCGCCTCTAGAGTGGTAACAAGCATTTTGATGGACATTTAAAAAAAAAAAAGGTGGTAACACCACCGCTGCAATGCTATCACATATTTTCCAACTCTGGAGGTGTATACTTTGCCAACATCGCTATGACGATTTGTTGTTTTGAGGTTGAAAGTATACCCTAGAAACGAGGATATCGACTATATGATTTTAACGTGGCGTCGTTGTAGCGCCCTCATTCGGTCTTATAGCCAATCCTAACCCATGTGCGCATTTTGTTTTCTGGTAGAATCGGCCTATCGTGTTCCATTGAGCAACGTTACGGGTTTGCCTAGTATCCCCGTGCATCCCATAGGATACAACGACGCAGCTGTCTTTCTCAGGTCGGTCACCAGTCCTCAACTTCTCATTAACATGTCAAACTAGTAATAAACGATACTTCAAAGTTACGGTTTTGTAAGGAGTATTACTGAGGAACGTTTTAGATTTCTTTTAAACCGACGGAGGGATTTTTTCCCAGTAGGAATAGTTATTTTACCCTGCTTGGAGACCGGCCGGCATGCCCCTTGGAACAGTTTGAAATCTACGTTTGTTTGTCCTATATTCTAAGACAATTCAAGAATACATTTAGGACATCCATTTACTATTTTTGGCCCATTTTACTTCTGAATACATTCAATATATCGTTACAACAACAATTGTTCTGTTGCGCACTTGTCTTTGATCTTCGACTTGTGCAGGAGTACGATAGTTCGTGCAATATCTCCCGGCTCCCCCTGGTATAGCCCATCCACTATTACAGCAACATTTTATTGACCTTTTTGTACCCTTTGAAGCATTATGGGAGGGGACGAGGTAACCGCAGAATGGGCTGGCAACTTGCCTGGTGTGACGTATCGCTATGGGCCTGGCTTCAATGCTTCCAACGTAGACAAGTAAGTCATGATTTCCATGTATTATTTTCGTGCTGTCGTATCGTGCGTCACTCAGCAGAATTTATGAAGATCCTTTCAAAATGAACGAATAGACGGCAGCCATTTTCTGCGGTGGCACCATGCTCGCGCGAGTTGCGCTGAGGTAGTACACACGCAGTCCGGGCTCCTTCAACCAATAGGAGTACTAAAATGCGCGTGCAGCATCCGCGTGAGCGTGACACCAACACAGTAAAAGCTTCTACTTCTGGTCGCTGGATTCCACTACCAAGCACCAGGGAAACCAGAAGATCATCGTTAAATCTGCGTATTACATGCGATGGTCCGAAGGTTCGTTATTAGTCTGAAGGTTCGATAATCCGAATTTAGAATCAGCTTAATCAGTCCGAAGGTTCAGTTGTCCGAAATGAAAACAAAGTTCAATAGTCCGAAGAAACCACTAGATTCAATATGCCCAATTTACAATAATGTTCAAGACTGTCAATACGGACTGTTGTTTGAACTATCGTACCTTCGGATTATTTAACGTTAATACTTTATTTTCGGATAACACTTTGGACTAACGAACTTTCGGACTAACGAACTTTTGGACTAACGAATCTGCGGACTAAAGAACTTTCGGACTAACGAACCTTCGGACATCCCAGCCAGATGGACTTCCGGGGCACCTCCATTGTTGTCCAATTGTCCCTATTTCGAAAGATTTCACTTGCCGGGTACCCTCTTTACCTAAAGATTTCACTTGCGGGGTAGGTCGATGGACAGGTACCCCACAAGTGGTCCATGGTAAGGGCGGACTAACGAACCTTCCGACTAACGAACCCTTGGACTAACGAACCTTCGGACTAACGTGGTTTGTCTGTAAATCGAAACACCGTGGTCTCCAAATTTAAAAAAGGTAACTTCATAACATGTTCGTTAAACAAACAGTACTTTCAGCATGATTTATGTCTTTGACAGGAAAGTTAAGATGAACATATATAATGAGAACCGAATGGCAACCGCGTACAATGTTATCGGAACAATCAAGGGAAGTGTAGAACCAGGTGAGAATTTAATTCAGATGTTTTTTTTGTTTTTTTAAGTTGTTTATTTTTTTTTTAGTAATTTAATTAAGTAAATGTATTACAGCTTAGGGTTGCAGATAAACATTAACTGCCACAAAAATACCCCGGCAACTTCTCAAAACCGGGAAAAAACTCACCACTCCAGCTCCTCGGTGTTAACTGAGACAACCATCAAATTAAAGCTTAATTCTATCCAACGACAATCATCCCTAAAAGAAGTCGCCGTTTTGAGAAATGATGCGTATACCCTCCATTGCAAAATAGAGCAACTCTAGGGCCCAGTTTCGTCCAAGTTCACAGAAATACAATGTCGCAGTCCGGATCACGGCTTCCACCTTCAAGTTCATGGCCAACAAAATGCTGTAATAGCAAAACAATGGGCATACAAATCGTGATTTAGCCCGCGTAGGCAATTTTGGGCATATTAACGGACCCTTAATATTTTAATCTGGAAGTTGGAAATATCAAACTGGCTGCTACAAACCTTTGGCGCTGGAGGCGCTCTTTCCACTTGTTTTTCTATCTTTATTTCTTTCTTAATTCACTTGATATTTCTCGAAAATTTCAAAGCAAAGAGAATGAACAGACTACACGGCTTGGATCCGTCATACTGAATTGACACTGCTTTTATAGATTTAGAAGATAAAAACTAATCCTTCTGCTTTGGAATTGCATTAATGGTTCGTCTTCTTGATGCAGATCGTTATGTAATCATTGGTAACCATCGTGATGCGTGGGGCTACGGGGCCATCGATCCGTCTAGCGGTACAGCATGTCTGATGGAGATGAGCCGGGTTATTGGGCAACTCGTCAAAGATGGTAATGATATTCTTGAGTCAATCACCTGCTGATCACATGTCAATCACATGTCCATCACAAGTCGATCACTTGTCAATCACATGTCAATCACATATCAATCGCATGTCAATCGCATGTCAATCACATGTCAATCACATGTCAATCACATGTCAATCACATGTCAGTATGACCATTGGTAACCGTCGTGATGCGTGGGGCTATGGGGCCACCGATATATAGCGGTAATGCATGTCTGATGGAGATGAGTCGGGTCATCATGGGAAAGCTCGTCAAAGCTGGCACAGATATTCTTGAGTCCATTACATGTCATGGAAACATTGATCCGTCTTGCGGTACTAGACTGCAAGTCTTCTGGAATGAGTCGGGTTATAAGAAAACTCGTTAAAGATAGTGTAACAATGACACCAAGTCAAATAAGTCAATGAAGTGCAAATCACATGCCGATCACATGTCAATATCGTCATGATGTGAAAAAAACCCAACCCGTTGGGTAAATGAAAATGTTTATAACCAACTGACAAAGCAGGCATATACTAATCACGTCATTGACAAAGTTCATCACCTATCGATCACATGTCCGTCACAAGTAATTACGAGTTCAATTTTATGAACTTAATTTACCTGCAGGTTGGAGGCCGCGTCGCACCATTATGTTCGGCAGTTGGGGAGCTGAGGAGTATGGTCTGATTGGCTCTAATGAATGGGTCGAGGTAACACAAACCTATACATTATTATTGCGCATGCGCCCATCACTGCGCATGCGCCCATTACTGCGCACGCTTAGGGCGAATTTCATTTTCCACTGAGATGAAACATCAAGATTTTGGATTTGTTGTTTCGATTTTGAGTGGAGTATTTATGTAAATGAGCAAAATGCATACAAATCTAATGATGGTCAGATTTAATTAATGAATGAGCTCAGATGTAAAAAGAGCCTGGAAGTTTGCGTTGTGTCAGTTTTTGTGCAATTCTGGCATGCATGTGTTAGATTTTGTCCAACACTATAAACAATGGCGTACTTTATTTCAAACAAAGCACAAAAATACCTTGTTCTGTGTGAAACTATCAATGTGACATTTTTGAATGTTTTTTTTAATCAGGAGTATGCAAAGAACCTTGGAGCTAGAACGGTAGCATATCTGAACCAGGATATCGCTGTAAAAGGTCAGTGGCTTTTCAATTATCTTATGGGATGAGACGGCCATGGTCCAGTGGTTACGGTGATTGACTCATGGTTACGGTGTTTGACGATGGTACATGGGTTTGAACCCTGGCAGGAACATGGTGTTTGTGCCCTTGGGCAAGACACTTAACAACAATTGCCTTTCTCTACCCAGCTATATACGAATGAGTACCTGTGGACCGAATGCATGTGCGCTGATATCGGTTCCGCGTGGTCTCGTGGTCTGATGAAAGGGGAATATTTGTACAGCTCTTTAGGATTGTTGATACGATGGAAAGCGCTACAAAGCATTAGAATGTTTTATTTATTGCAATAATCCTGGACCACACTTTACCCAAAAATGTAAACATTAATTTGGAGCAATTTCGAGCACGACTATGGCTAATAAAAGTTAGAATCCACACTCGAACGCAGGATGGTGTAACTACAAGACGACTATTTGGAGCCGGAGATAGCCCGGGCTTGGTTCAATCGCTGGTTGCCAATAGCCGCGCGCATCATAATGCACAGCGGAGAGCCAGGATCAAGACGTTTTGTGATGACGTTTTGACCAGCGTTTGCACAGATACATTTGCTATTAGTGCGCATCTGTAAGTAACGTCACGAATCAGCCACTAGTCGAGTAATGGTCCTTGCCCGAACTTGCTTTTAGCTTTATGCAGTCACGAAAGCTATAGTAGCTGCAAAATGAATTGCGTAATGGCACACTTAAAGTTCTGTGTTCCCTTCGTAATGTTTAGGCGTTTATTGTATTTCTTGACGTGTCCCATACGGTCACAAAAATACCGAGGTACAAAGTCCTTGGAGATAATTTTATTTCAGGTGTCACCTTGTTTCGTGTTTCAATCAGTTCAGAATAATCTGTATATACCAACCGCATGTCTCATAAGGTTTGTACACGGAAACTACCGAGGACTTGGGAACAGGTCCTCGGAGATAATAGTTATTTTATGTGACGCCTTGTTCCATATCCTTAGTTAAGAATCATCAGTACACACAATCCACATGTCCCATAAGGTTTGTACACAAAACCTACAAAGGACTTAATTGGGCTTAGGTCCTCGAAGATAATTGTTATTTCAGATGACACCTTGTTTCATGTCCTCGGTTGAGAAAAACCATCATATACCATCTACATGTCCCATACGATTTATACATAAACACTTCGGAGGATTTGGACTCAGGTCCTCGGAGTTATTGTCTCGCTCTACCATAATATTACTATGGAGTATACTTTCCTCTCTTTATACTGTTTTGACAGTATTACTATTGGACAGTTTTCTTATTTCTATTTTGACAGTTTGTTACGTGTTCCCGGCCTATTGTGTGTACCTTTTAAGCTAATCTAGACATGGCCAAAAGATTTTACGCACACAAAATGTACTGAGGACATTTGAGGACATGGACTCATTATGTCCTCGGAGATATTGCCTGGTTCATACTTTACTATAGAGCACTTATACTATTCTTGCTTTTTTATTACTGTTTACAGAAGACCTGTTTAGTTTACAGAAGACCTGTGCAGTTATCGGCCCATCGTTTGGACTTTTTAAAATATTTTCTTAGACATGGCCAAAGAGATTTGCACACAAAACTACGGAGGCCATAGGCTCAGGTCCTCGGTCGTTTATGCACAGTTTCCTCTATTTCAATTCATAGGTACGTTCGTACTCGAAATCGCTGGAACTCCCAACCTCTACAATGCAATATACAGTGCTGCAAGGAAAGTAAGTCACCGTTTTAATCCCTACATTAATCAATCAAAAAAAATAGTTTAAATTGTTCATGCCTGCACAGCACCCTAAAATATTGTACCCCTTGCTAGCAAACTTATATAAAAAGTAAAGGGGACGAACGTGTGTTCACAGGAACGGAGTGCCCATCTCTCTTTCGAAGCGATTGGGCCAGACTCATATGCTGCTGTGGGGGGATCGCCACACCACCTCCACAGCGAGTCTGTTACCTTCCCAGCATTGAACAATGCCGGTACCCATTTAACACCTAGGTTGAGAGGAGTAATTGAGGTGAAGCGCCTTACTCAAGGGCACAACACGCATGGCCACAGTGGGGCTTGAACCTACAACCTCTCGATCACGAATCCTGTGCTCCACCGCTAGACCACACGTGCCCCCAAACTTATATGACAGCTTTCATATGTCAAATGTCCTGTCATGGCATGGTGTGATGTGTACATGACTTCTGCTCTGTTTTGAATGGCTTCTTGTGTATTTTACACGTTTTACATTTGATCTCGGCTTGTGTCGTTCACGTTCATCATGTTTACTTGTACAAAATTCACCACCCCATAGCAGAGACTTTCTGGAAAAACAATATCCAGGGATAACTTTGTCTGGGATATAATATGGAAAAGGCTCGCTTATTGCTGTCCAGATAGTAAGTCCTTTTCAATTTATTGGAAAGTTTTACCTCACGCAAGTCTGGCAACACAAATGGAAGAAGAGCGATTGTACATTTTGCCGTGATACAATAGATTGCATTGAACACTTTTTCCGGTAATGTAAATGGTTATGCCACTTTGGAACGAAATAAAAAAAATGCTGCTTCAAAATATGGTAATTCGATCACTCTATCCGTGGAGAAATTTTTTTTTTAGGGTGGGTGAAACACATAAAAGCTATCGGTTTTTAAATACTCTACTTAATACAGGTGAACAGTCAGTGGGCCGTTTTAGATATGGCCAGTACTCTAACCTTTTCACCCTTTTTTGAGCAGGAACTCCAGCTTCATCATATGAAGTAAACGGATTTATAGATTTTTTGTGTGTAAAATTAGTTGTAGGCCTACGTATTTAGCAGACGATTAACTGTGCATATTATGTATTGTTGACTGAATCTTGGAATTAAATCGAACAAAGAAAGAATAGACCTAGTTTAACTCAATTCAAATCAGTGTCACATTTATTTCCGTTCTTCTATGCAAAATAAATATTCAACATTATGCGTAAAAGGCAATGTATGGAACTCTTTACATTGCAATGTATGAAACAAACGTATGCAGTATTAGGCAAAATATCAAAGGTAGAGAACACAATTAGATCGTTGCGCGGCAGCAATATATTTTTGAGGTACGTGTTTTTGTTCAACAGGGATACGAGTAGACCTCTTGCGCATTCTTTGTTCATGAATTAACATAACAAAACACACACCACAAAGATGGATTCTGAATGCAACCGATTTATATAAACATAAACTTGTGGAAAACAGCTCAGCAAGCTTGCTCAATATCCATTTTTGGGGGCATTTTCGATATTCCGGGCGAAATACACATCGGAGTATTCGATATTATCGTCATTCAAACGTGCACATAAAAACAAATTACGCAAGTCTGAATTTGAGTGGATCACAGATAGGAATAACATTAAGTCTATAGCTTCATATCGACGTACGAATCGCGAAGAGAAACGCAAACACGACCCAAACTGCAATGCAGACTTACGGAAACATTTCCTCCAGAAGTGTCGCCGACAACTCAGTCGGCTACCTCGCGGACCATCGGCAACGTTCAACACGGTTCAACTTTGCCGATTGTTCCGCTCACTGTCTGCACAGTCAGCGTATTAAGCTTAAAGTCGATATGGAAACCAGACTTTGCAGACATAATCAGACATGCAAAAAAATGTAGAACAACCCCAAAAAGCAATAGCAAAGAGACAGTGTGGAGGTATATATCACAAGGAATAACAAGGCTTTGTAAGATTTTTGAAGATAATGTCCAGCTCTTTTCCCTCTTCTCTCTCCCCCGCTCCAAGGTGGCTGATCCCGATCCCAAACTGTCACAGACTGTGTATGATACCTGGAAGGAACGAGATCTCGTGGGGAACACCGTGGACGGACACCCACAGTAAGTCACTCGGTGAATTGTTGTTTTAAGTCCGGTTTTGTGCCCAATGTTTGTATTATTAAAGCGGGACATTATATTTCTTTCTGTTAATTAAAACAAGAATTTCTCAACTTTGTGCCCTAGGCACCGTAGCTCGAAAGCCTTTAGCCTGAAGAAAGCCTGAAGAAACCTGTGAAAGACAGTGAGAGGAATTTACAGTTTTGGACGGGTACTAATTGGGACTGAAAACCCGAAAGAATATTTTGGGTAAATTCCCACGGAGTCAGGGATTCAAAACTCAATCAACGCGTGATCCATGCAGGAATCGAACCCACATTGGTCTGGGCAGGACTTGAACCCGGGCCATAGCGGTGGAAGGCGAATGAAAGTAGCCACTGTGCCAGCCTGACTCCCGTAACATCTTTAAATACACAGGTTTTTCCTTACTCTCTTACTGTTATGGGGTATAAACACAATCTTAAAGGACAAGTCTGCCATGTGGCTCGGAGAGTTGAAGTGTAACTCTTTCTACAGTGGTTTTTCAATATGGACCCAGTGAAAAACGTCTCTAAAAGAGCAAATCTTCCTCTTTTCATATGTGGAGGACAGCTTTTTATAGAGTGGTTTTCTATACACTTTAACGTTAAGAGGGTATATTTGAAACCACGTAAACATGCACTCAACTAAAAGAGAAAGAGTGTACAGTTCACTAGCACAGCAAAGATGAGCAATTTTTTTCAGGCCTTTTTTCCCACAGCGGAATAGCAGATAAAATGAAGGTGTTTCCAGATATTGATACGCGAGTCGTGTAATAATGAGTTACGAAATACCGAAACTTAGAAACATTGTAAAAGCCGGAGTCTGATTGTCGCCCGTTGTCAACGGAGACCTTTCGGTAACCAACGTCTGATATATGTGAATAATGACAATTGTATGGTACCCTGTGTGTCAGCCAATCGGAGTCGGTTTTAGACTTATGACGTCATTTCTATCAGATATGTGAACTAAGTTGTAATTGGTCAATTTGGCTGCTGTGTTTTTGTAACACAACAACGGGTTACTGGCTGAATTGTCGGAAACTTGTCTTGTTTTGCATAATTAATCGCCAAATCTGCTCGAATAGCATAGACTCTTGCTGCGCTAGAGGATATTCCATAGACCAGTGAACATTTTGCCTTTCGTATTTTTGTTATTGTCTCTAGTATTGGTACCCTCGGCTCTGGAAGTGACTACGCGCCGTTTCTTCAGGTTGTTGGAATCTCTGCGGCTGATTTTACCTACACGTATGATAAGGTATAGTATTATCTTAGCGTGCACAAACAGACGAGCCTTTGTTCTCTTTGTATCTGGTACCTGACTAACTGACTGTCTGACTGACCTATACTGACTGGCTGTCACTTGTAAGCCGGCAGTGCTATCCAAAACGATTAAAGAGGTTGTGGAATACTCGAAGACATTTCCGTCATTTTTCGGGTATATGTAGCCTATTTAGGTGTGATGAAATAAAAACGGCTATTGTTTCTGTCATGAAATGAGTACAAAAGTACTTTTGAGAGCTGTTTTTCAGGTCCAGTTTCGACCCGAACGTGCAACTGTGTAAAAGTCGTCGTTGCGGGCAGCAAACAAAACACAGTAAATCGTGACGTAATTAAATCGTGACGTAATAAACAGGACTCGTGTATGCTACTGTGCATCGGGAGTCCTGTTTATTACGTCACGATTTACGTCACGACGACATTTACACAGTTGTACGTTCGGGTCGAAACTGGACCTGAAAAACAGCTCTCAAAAGTACCTTTTGTACTCATTTCATGACAGAAACAATAGTCGTTTTTATTTCATCACACCTTAGGCTACATATACCCGAAAAATGACGGAAATGTCTTCGAGCATTCCACATCCTCTTTAACCGTGACGCGAATGAATGGGCTAAATCCGGCCCATTGTGTAGACCAGATTCATGAAGAGACTTCCAGTGAATAGCCGTTCTGAATCAATTGAATAGAGCTTTGCCGTGTGCTTTGGAACCAGCTTTATTAGGCTTGCCTGAGCTTGCCTTTCTGAATGGCCAGGGGTTCCAAAGGATTAGGTCAAAGTTCAAAATAAGTACAGAAATAAACAACAGACAAACAAATTAGTACTGTGTTTTTTATTTGTTATTGAAACGTCCACGATTGTGTGGCACACAATGTGAAAAATAAATTAACAAATTAAAACACTATTTATTAGGCATTACATGTTACGTCAGTGAAAAGTTACACTAACAAAATCGGCTTGCTGCTCACGATATTTAGCAGCTTAATATTAAATTTGGAAACCGGATTTGGACTTTCCTTTCGCGCAGCATACATGTAATTATAGCACATATTGCATAATAAAACAGTTTTGTTTGGAAGACAAAAATGTATAGGGATATATGTACAGTTCTTGTTGAAAAATACCAAACCCAAGCCAAGCAGAACTAAATCAATATAATGGATTTGTTTTCAGTATAGTTCACTGGATGTACGAACATGGTTTGGATATGGTTTGCATTAAATGTGGCCTCTCTGCGTTTAGTTAAGACTCCGTCTCAAGTCATATCCTGGTTCCGGATCTGTTCCGGATATGTTCCGGACATTTTATCGGGTATAGAAGTTGCAGTATTCTGAGCAACTTCGCAGCAATATTCCCGCAATGAAGCTATCAATACATAACTATTCTGATGATTTAAGCAGTTGGTAATGAAAACTTCATCGGAAAATATCTGGGGAAAATGCAAAGCTTTTTTCGGACAAAGTGAATGATTCTACTCGACAACTTGTCCGGAACTCCGGATATGAATGGAGAAAAGCCTTCTTACAAGCAATAATAAAGTTTTACTTTTGACTTCTCACTCTGCATTGTATGTAATATAGTGTATTCTCTTGTGGTTTTCGCCCACAAAAACAGAAAACGATTCTAATCTCTGGCTACCCTATGTACCACTCGGTCTACGAGACGTTCAAGCTGGTTGATATGTACTACGACCCTGGGTTCCCCTACCACCGCGCTATAACGCAACTTGTGTCCGAACTCGCTCGCAATCTGGCGGACTCTGTAGTGCTGCCAATGGACGTAGCCGTGTACGCAGAACACGTGCAGGAATACTACGTGAGCCTACGCGAGGGATCCGTGGGCAAAAAAATGATTGCCGAAGGTATCATGTTTGGTAAGTATGGCCAGACCTCTGGTTATTACCAAACCTACTAATCTATTTATAGATACAGAATTCTGTACAGAAGCGTATTCTTTCCTGGTAAAGAAAAGTGCCCAATAAGTGTTCATCAAAATGAAATGTTTTGAGGATTTTTTTTTTTACATCGAACAAGACAATTCCATACACATATCAATTCCTCTGAACCGTTCCCCTTTTTAACAGCACACGTTGCTGTTGCTTTGCGACCCTTGAGGGCGCTGTTACTGTGATGTCACTTTAAGGCCAACACTCAGTTTTGGGAGTTTCTGTTGGTCTACAAAACATGAACCCACCGTGTACAAATTGTGAAGAAACTTTACTTTTTTTGCCTGTTGTCACATTAAAGAACAATAATGCAAAACAAGCTCGATCGGAAATATATGGGAAGCTGATGGCCAACGAATTCGTGTTCATGCATCAGTCACGTGATTGTGCCATATATTTCCTGGAAGAAGTAGTCTTATGAGTAATAAAAATTTAGGTTTTTGGTCATGTGGCATGCTGGGGCTTAGCTACTGGTTACTGTGACAACGTTTGGTTGAAATATAGGTAAAAATATGTAGGAGCAATAGACAATGTCAACGTTTGTTACTATTAACGGACGAATAACGGAGAAATATATGATTTGTCGAGCTGCTTTCTGAGAGAATGTGGGCGCCGTAAATAACGCCATTTTTTTTTATATGCAACTGTTGAAATGGCACGTCTATTGAAGCGATTGAGCAACTTGACTTTTATAGTTGAACAACTTTGCATTTCACCAACATGTAAACGTACGTCAGTACCTTACATTCATGTCTGTTTGCACCAGTTTCATCACCAAGATTGGCATTGTTATAGCTCCCTCATTCGCGATATCAATGCCAAATCTGGTATACAACCTTTGAGACGCTTCAACGCTTGGTGGCAGCAAACACACCAGTCCTTTTGCGTCATTTTGAGCATGCGCACAGTAACCTAAGATCAATCCCAGCATTTTGGAAACAAGTGTAATACAACGGTTCGGATAAATGATCTAAAACTTCTAGTCTGTACTCTCCCTGAGCGTTACTAGATGATGGATGTAGGCCTGTAAGATTGAAAAATAAATGTTCAGGTTTATTCACTTAGCGCTGAAAAGCTCTAGTCACGGTCATTACATAACGCTGGAATAGTCCCTAAATAAACATGACGTTAACAATTAAAAAGAACTGGGGTGTTTGCTGCCACCAAGCGTCTCAAAAGTCTCTCATTGTCAAATACATGTTACCAATCGAAGACATAATGTGCCTTTTGTTATCTTTTCATTTCAATGTTTAGATGACATGCAGTCGGCTGTCAATAATCTGACAGATGCTGCCAACAAATTCAAGGCCAAAGTTGAATCGGTGGATAAAACTGAGTAAGATGCGTTGAAGTAATGTGCTTGTGTTCTCGAACTTAACATTTTGATTTAGTCGAAAGATGAAAAAAAAATCGGCGTTATGCCAACAAATGCTTTGAGAAATCTGTATCTTGAAAGTTTCATGTTGTCCTTTAACTTCCGCCAATTTTTTTCTTCACAAAAACATTATACAAATTCGATGAAAAGATTATCAAATTTCGTTCCACAACATCAAGTTGTTAATAATTTATATATTTTAAAGTTGCACTTACGATTTAATATTCTATTTTTCCTCATAATTTAGGCAAATTCGTTTCATGTTGAGGTGTGCGTTGGATTGTTAAAGCCAATTTTTTATCCCTACGTTATTTATCTTTTGCAGCGTTCTGATGGTGCGTATGCTGAACGATCAGATGACCCTTTTTGAACGAGCCTTCAGTGACCCACAGGGACTTCCCGATCGTCCCTTTGTCAGGTAAGCTTGTGACAATGCCGGTGTGGTAGGGAATTCCGCCCGCCATGATATTCCGTTCTCCGGACAGAATGTTCCTGCTTTTGCCAGGATATTGTGCACCCTGGCCATTTTCTCCTAGGAACTAGTGCCCCCTCTAGGATATTCCGCCCCTACCGGAGAATGTGTAAGTCTGTAAACCAGACTACAATTTATTTCGTATGTATTATTATAGACTTCCGTCAATCATTATAAATTATAAATGAACCTGCCTTTCTGCGGGAAATTCTGCAGGTGGTGGGTTCGATTCAATCTGAGTCGCATGTTTATGGTGTAAATCGAAGACACACACGGGCAACACCATCGATAAATCGAGGAAAGAAACCGAACTGAGGACTCCTCGGTTGGAAAACGTGTATAAACCTTTGAGAGCTGTTGCGAAAAAAGTACAAACAAGGGAAAAGGGAAGAGGAACAAAAGAACATCCTCGATTTACACCACAAACAAACGTGTTAATTATGGTGCGTGTGCCCTCGGGCACTTTGTCACTCATTGCTTCTCCCCACCCACGAGTAAATTGGGTACCTGCGAGTTATTCTGAATGATTTTAGCGACTTTGCGCCGAAATGGCAGCATCGAGCTGTATACTCCCCAGGGAGCTGAGATTTAGAATGTTTCATTGACCCAACAAGCAGGGTAGTAATGATGCGCTTTTAAATAGGCATAACTATCTCTTACACCCCAGTATACGTACATTTTAATACTAGTGCTCAATAAGGAGTTTTGCCATCGTGTTTTGCATTCAGGCACATTGTCTTCGCGCCAAGCAGCAGAGACAACTACGCCAGTGACAAATTCCCAGGCATCGTGGACGCCATGTTTGACATCGAAAACAACCCAGATCCAGAAAAGTGGAACTTTGTCAAGAAGCAATTGTCCATTGTCATATACACCATCCAGTCAGCGGCTAGCGTTCTCATGGAGGTTGCATAAAAAGATACACATGCAAACACATGAGTAAAAAAAAAAATTTCCACGGTTTTATCGAAATTACAAGCAAGGGGTGCGGTAGTGTCACTGGAAGTGTTTGCGTTTGTAAGGAACACTCTAAAAACATCCGGGTCAGACTGACCACGAAACCGGGCTCTATTTGGCTAAACCTTTTTCCCAGGTAAGAAATAATACTTCTCCAGGTCAAACTGACACTTTTCCCGAGTTAAACTTACACGTTTCGGGCTCAATATAACACCTTTCCAGGCTAAAGTGACATTTTTCCGGGTCTAAATGACACTTTTGCTGGTCTAAATGACACTTTTTCGGGTCAAATTACTTTTTTCCGTGAAATTTTTTCCCCGGGCTTTTATCTTGAATAAGTGTCAATTTGACCCTGAATAGTGCCCATTCTAACCCGGGAAAGTGTCGTGTTCACCCAGTAAAGAGTTGAGCCGGAAGAAAAAATATGATTCTGGTCAGTGTGGCCCGGATATTCTTAGCTTGTTACCATGAGAACGTTCATACCCCAACTGGCACGATGTCCTCGAAATACTGCTGTTATGATGGCCGCGGTGCCCTGTATGCTACTCCTACAAGGTTCAGTGGTTTAATGCAGCTTTCAATTTCCTTCCAAAAATAATTGTGACTGGCAATGCATATTTTCTTTAATGTATTAAATTACCTGTTTTCATTTTGTTTAAGGAAACAAAAATCCCCGACAGAATATTTGTGTGTTTATAAATTGAAAAAAACATAGCTAATGTAATTGCATATATCAATTGATCTTTTGCAAGCACATTTCTTAGGCTAGAAAAACAATGAACTGAAAGGCATTTGAGATCATTTGCTTTTCATGCATTTAGTTCGTTTCCAATACTAACACGACCCAAAATGCAGAGACGAAAGTTTAAAACCTAACCTGTTGAAATATCAGCTCTGTGGATATTATATTTTCGAATAATGCTACAGATCATGCACAACCTTTTGGTCACCCAAAACCTGATTTCGTAAAAAACACTATGTACATATTTTGATTTCTTCCTAATGACAACAAGCCAGACGAAATAATTTCACGGGGTGTTTGGTTTTACTACCACTACTACTACTACTACTATTACTACTACTACTTTTACTACTACTACTACTGCTACTGGTTTTAGTATGATCTTTAATCTAAGTAAGTTTTTCAAATTGATAATAATTCGGTAGGTTACATTTTGGAGGAATGCAAATGATTTTATAAGCTTAACCCAATTTACCTTCTTGAACTCTGCCTATAGTGAAAACTTATACACAGATATGCCATTAACGCAACAACTATAGTGCTCGTTAACAAATGCTACTTTATCGTTAGACACTTCAAGTAGAAATCCATTTGTTCAAAAAACATTTATGTTAAGAATTTGAACTAGGCTATGAGATGACATCGAGTGTCATAACACGCGTGTGATTGTGAACATTGCGTGTGAGCGTGAAGTACTTAAAGTGGAGTGAAAGAACGTTTTGAATGTTGTATTTTTAACACTTAGGTTTAGATTCTTGTTTCTGTTTTTCTTTTTAGGGTTTCATTTAAATATACTTTCGTTTGTCTTGAACACTCAAAATTTGAGGGGTTAATTATTATATATGCAGAACATTCCAGTTAATTCCTTGTAATGTATAAATGTGAATTTTTTTTTGAATTTGGAATGAAGAAGGGGATTTTTGGCGACTTTATTACTGTGTTTGTCCAGTTTAGTATTAATTTTCTTAAAAATCATGTTGAATGCATTAATAATGATTAATTGGTACCAGTTGATCAAACATGTTTTAGGGCACTTAGGCATTAGCATTTTGAAACTCATTTTCACCTGGGCAACAGATTTGATTATAGAAACTATTGTTGAAAATCTCGTCTTCCTATTTCCAACTTTCCATTCTAAATGGGTAGTATGTTATATACACACATATATTCATTAATGTAATATGTAGACTACAATTGATTTTAGAAACAATTGTTGAAAATCTCATCTTGCTTTTTAGTTTGTTTTTATTTTAAATGCGTCGCACGTTATATATACACAGATATACATTATTGTAACATGTAGACTACATTTTAAATAATTTGTAAAACACAACTCATTGTTTTGATCATAAACGGTTTTTCTCAAGCTTTTGCAGTCTTCCAGCCTATCTTATTTAAATACAGAAACTAGCATCTATCCCTGCTTCGTTTTCTTAAAAAGTAATATAATTAGCTTGTCTAAAAAAACAAAAATGTGATTACCTACTGTGCCTGACGAAGGATAGAAATTTATCACAAATGGGCAATTCCACCGTCACTCACGTTACATTTATATGCCATGAGGCTATGTCCTCTCACTGCTTCAAAAGTATTTGATCAAGCTGAATCCAACCAGCCATACAACAACCTTGGGGTAAGGGGTACTCAAAAATGGTAAGAAAAATTCAATCCATTTCACTTGGTTTTCATATTCCTCGTTCATATCAGAACTTTCTATACCATTTTGGGAAATGCTTACTGAAAACAAATTATCCGAAATGTTAGGGTCAGTTTAGTTTTCATCTCGAGGGGCACATTTATTATGCTTGAGGTGGCACATTTATGTCTGTAAGTGGGGCACTTGGGTAAAACGGGGAGGGGGGGAATTCCCCCGCCGCCCCTGTCTTGCAGTTATCAAGGGTTACAAGTCACCGGACTGATTGAATGTATTCCTTGCATAATAACCATTTATCTTCGACTTATTGGCACGATGTAACAATATAATTGTTAACTGCTTGATGTGATATTGCCGTTTATTCGCCTCGGGTGTTATGCGCCCCTGGGGTGTTAAAAGCGGCATATCCCACATCACAGCAGTCAACAATTGTTAATTATAGTCTGGGAACATTTTTTGCACTGCTCAATCGTTTCACTATGGCCCTTATGTAGCATACTTGTAATGATGTATATACGGATGACTTAAAGCACTTTAATGTTATTATAATAACAGTTTTATTGAATGCTATAAAATTAGTTTACATCTATTCTCATTTGACTTTATTTTTTTTTCATTACTGAGAAAGAAACTTAAAAGTCACGAATTTAATTATTTAATCATGAATTGCTATGAAGTGTTATTTCGTGGCGGTGACGCATACGAAAACACATCTATATATTACGTGTTGATTATCTTGCCCCTGCCTAAAGGTTATGGACACTGTTTGTAAACATTCCAAATTGAAACTGTCAAACTATCATTAAAAAAATGAATAATAATAAGCTGCTGCAAACTGCTCACTGACTGGATTGACCTGAAATATACAAGTCAAAACGATACAGAGGCCTGAATTCGTCTTTAGCAAAGACTTCTTCAGAGGCAAAAAAAGAAAAATCATTTATCTAAAATAACATTTATCTAAAAAAATATCATTTAGCTAAAATTTTAATGCGGCCTGACGTTGCGAACTGAACAAGTTCTTCTTTAGAGGCAACATGACGGAGGTACAAGAAACAAGCATGTAGGGACTCACAGGCATGCAGGGTTGGGAGGAGAAACACAAAAGGGATTACGTGGGTGGGAGCACACCAGTGTAGGTGAAGATCACAGAGGATGGAGATGAAGAACTAACAACGGACGGATTAAATAGGGGAGGGCAGACTACGAGGGATTAAGTAGGTGACAGGTGAGTATGGGCGGGATCACAGCGCATGTAATGGAAGTAAGAACAAAGACGTGTAAAATGGGGGACAGATCGCGAGGGATTAATAAGGGGACGGACCAATGTGGCTTAAAATGAAAGGGTAGGAGTGTAAATCCGAACAAAAGAGTGCGTGATGGTTGGTAAGTGACAAAAAGCGGGGGTGGGTGGTTCGCAAGTATTATGAGTCCGAAAAAAAGGTCGCCTGAACTATCCATGTTGACGAAAGAAGCCTAGTACACGCAAAATGACTTGGCGGTACGGGTGTGGCGATACACATGTTAAACAAGCCACAATGCTTGATTACGTAGACCTACAAGAGCCTCGACCCCCCCCCCCCCCCGAAAAATGCAAGTCTTTTCATCTCCACTCACTGGACTGTTAATGACAATACTTGAGAATACACTCGCAAGTGTGGATTTTTCATTTACGAATTCACTCAGCGCTTCGCGCCTCGTGAAATCTTTAATTACGAATCCACACTTTCTAGTGTATTCTCCTTAACGAAAGGCGTAAAAAAAAGATGTAAAAGAGGTAAAATAAGGTGATAAGGGGGAGGGGCAGAGAAGATAACTTGAGACACAAGGTAAATATCATTTAAGCAAAAGCAGCAATTATTGCACCGAGTATACTGCTGTCATTTTCGAGATAAGAGGAATTACCACCATTCGCAAAGGTTCGGATGAAAACATCATCAGAAAGAAATAGCTGTTTTGCCCAGTTGACCGAATTTAGTTGACACGGATTCTCTCGTGATGGTTTATAGGAATAAACCGTCGTGCTTTCAACGGAAGCCTATATGCATTAAAGGGATATTACGTCCTGGAATGCGCCTAATTGCGCTCCAACATGCGTTTTAAACGGAATAATGCTAACTAATTGGGAAAAGCCTTGAAAATAAGAAGAAACATATCCACACAACCATGCTATAAAACAAACTTGACTCCGAAACTTTTGTTTTTGGTGCTAGTCGTGATTCCAGTCGCACACATGTTCCTTTGATACATTTCTCGAACACGCGAATGTGTGTTCATCGGTTGAGTGAATATGTTGGCTTATTTGGGTGGAAAAAAAAAACACCGACTCATCGCTATTGTTTTAGATTAATCAAATTACCGTAGCTATTTGTGGCATCAGACTGACATGGCGCCAAATAAGTTTGCGGCTGGAAATACGAATTTAAATTCGAATAAACTTTAACATCATGCGAAACACCAATGTGTCCTCTTTCAAATGATGCATTCATTGTGTCTGTGGCCACGGATGACTGAGCATTCATTTGTATTCAGCCAAGGTTCACAACCCGTACTGGGCAAGTTTTACCTGGCTTAGATTGCTGGCTGGTTTGTTATGCTAAGGTTGAAATGGACACATCAATGAGTTACACAAGCACTTTTTGCCACGTTGCATGGCATTGGGCCATGAGGGGTTAACTTTAACAATGAGAGTGGCTAAATCAATTATGTCAAAATAGAATAAATTGTTTGAAAGAAAAGGATGTCTTCTTTCTTGAAATTGCCGTTTCACATACCAGTTACACTTTTGCACAAAACTTGGCCCAGTACAGGTTTTGACCCTTAACAGAATAACAATGAATGCTCAGTCATCCGTGGCCGCATATATACACACAATCAAGATATCATTGGTGTTTCACATGATCATCAACGTATTTGAAAATATTTATTAGATTTTTTTTATAATTTACATTTACATTTGGGTTTCCTATTTTTTATACACCCTGTATAATAGTCACTGCATACACAGTCGTGTATCCGCTTCCCGCGGACTCATCTCAAACACCCCCCCCCAAAAAAAACCCACCCAAATAAGTCATTTCCTTGAAGAGTTCGTACCTAAGAGTGTTGATAACTTTATACATATCTAAACCCCCATGAAATTTCAATCCATTAGTTGAGAGAGCCTCAAGATTGACTGTTTTTCTTTTTTGGCTCCTTGCCAAGGTTCCCTCGAGCCTAAGGAATACACACAAGTCGCACACGTTCCCATGGCAACCAGGGCCGTAATACAATGCGTAGAGTCAAGTGCGTTATGCGTAGGAAGCTGGGGGGAATCAAGTGATTTTCGACATTTCACAGATTTTTTTTTGTTAACCTCATCCCGAAACAATATTGACGTTGGCTCGATTATTAAATAACAAGACCATGACGAAAGCACGTCTTGAACATTGTGTTTAGAGCTACTTGGAGAAACAAGTCAAGCATGGATATGAAAATGACAACATACGTACAGCGGGGAACGTGATCAGTAGGCTATGTCTACTCTAAAATTGCTCAAAACCAATGTCTGACATTTTTCAAGAGTTTTGAGGCAATATATTAATGCACAGCAGTTATCAGATCTTAATACAGAGAGTACTATTACTACTGAGGACCCGTTTTGTTTTCTTCCCCGTTGCCTATTTTCAGACGGGCACTTTCTCTTGACATTTTCCATAAAGTTTGCTCACAAAAGGTACCAAGGATTTGGGCCGAGGACTTGCGCTTAAGTCCTTGAAGTTATCGTTATTTCAGGTTACGCTTTGTTTCAAGTCCTCACAGTCGTAAAGGGCAACCTGTACCCGCCATCACGGATCCTAGACACCAGGATAAACGACTCGGCCCAACTCCTGGTTAGACGCGTGATAACGGCCTGTACTGGTGGCAAATACCATGAATACTTTTCAACAAAGACCACTGCGCGCGTTGGACTTTAGATTTGCAAGGCTCTGTGCCCGATCTGGCCTCGAAGTCTGTCAAGCCAGCAAATTATATTTTTGAATATTCATGAGTCTACGTTTTTGGTCTTTATTACTGAATTCTGATAAGTGATAACTACATAACCATGGTAATGCCGAGCACAATATCTTTAGCTTTAAGATGAACAATGAAATGTCTCTTTTGTTTCATCGGTTCGGCATCACATCTCTCTAAAAAATTTTAATAAAAGCCTCATTAAAACGAAATTTGGGTAAACGGTGTTCTCCTCGAAATTTGACGTTTATTTCCCGGGTAAATACTTCATATATGACGACAAAAACTGCACAATACCCTCTTTTATATCCTGAAGTATTTATTTCTTAAATAATTTGGAACAATTATATCTTAAATAAGAAGTAGTTTTGCTTACAGTTTTATGAATATTTCCGTTTTAGATGTCATGCAAAAACCCAACACAATGGCACATCTGGAAAATTCGCGATTACGCGCCAACGGGTATTAATGCCCGTTATCACGCGTCTAACCAATTAAGGCAAGTCCGCTCAGTGCATTTTGTACTGGAGCTCAGAACAGTCGTTTATCCTGGTGTCTAGGATCCGTGCCACCATCAACAATCCGATAAAGGTTGCACACGACAAACCACGTGAGCTAATAGGTCCTCGGAGTTATAGTTATATCAGATACATTTTGTTTCAAGTCTTCAGTCGTGAGGAATAATCTGTGTATTCACGCTCGTTAACAACAACACTGATGCAAGATTTGACTCAGAACAATCATAAACTGTTTCATTTAAGGCTTCTGCTGATAATGTTTTTGAAATACATACGAAGTCAAAATAAGCAGAATCCAAACCAACCCCATAAAATATATTTCATATTTTAAAAAAATATGTAGCACCAAAAATAATAATGAATAGACAGCCAATTTCATGAAATACCTTTAGATGAAAAAAATAACTGAAATTGGTCAATCCGTTCAAATGATATCATTATTAAACGCAATGACCCTTAAACTTGTTTCGTCAAAGCAAAATTATTGTCTATTCTGACTGTCTGGATCAACAAAGAAAATGACAGAATACTTGTTTTAACAACTGTCAACAACTATAGTACACAATATCTGTATTAACAACCCTGGTAAGGCAAACAATATAATTTATAAAATCAATTTTTTTTTAAGACGGGCCTTCAACAGGAATTTGTTGAAAATGTTTAACTTTCAAACTGAGGTTTTATCGCTGGTGATGAAAAAAATTGTGATGACGATACTTAAAATTGCATTTTTTTTGGACGAAAGAGGTTTTAGGGCCATTGTGTTTAAAAGGTGATATTCTTTGAACGGATTGAGCAATTGAAGTAATTTGTTCATCTAAAAGTAGGTTATGAAATTCACCTTCCAGTCATTGTTATTTTTGTTGCTACGTATTTTTTGTCAAAAGTAAATATAATTTTGGTTGTTTTAGGCCAAAAAAAAAAAGTATCCGGTTTCTGGTATGCGCGCGCGTCGCCGTAGCCATGCGCGTCGGCAAAATGAAAACGTTTTTTTTTCAATGAAAGATGATGTCTCAAAACCGCCAAACTCACTGGTTTGACTGGAATCCTGCTGCTGCACAATTTTAACGTGTTTTTA